CCTGCTGAGGGCTTCTAGGCCCCCACTGGGAAGGCCAAGATCTCCTCTAGGTTTTCTCTACAATTAACAATGTCATTTTTAAATGAGCAAAGCCATGTCTTCAATCTTGATGCACTGGATTTGGCAACTAAAGTCAGTACATTTTGAAGAGGGCCAAGTGTATGTAGAGGAATGTGTGTGTGTGTGTGTGTGTGTGTGTGTGTGTGTGTGTGTGAATAGTTAAGGCATAAAATCTTTCATTTTGGAGCACCTTACCGAACATAACAATAATCACTGTTATCCTTTTGGCAACACCACAAAGATTGCATCTGTTAAACAGGTACAAGTTCACTTGAGGTCAGTGTAATTATACACCATGGTATTGGTGGTGTTTATTGCTGATAAGTCCAAACCTTTATCTGTCTGTTATTCTTAATGTTTAATAAACTTTGGATTGTTTCCTGGCTTTCCTTTATTTTTGTTGACAGTCTGCTGGAAATTAGATTCTGTTCCCAATTCTATCATAAAGAAGCCATTGACAGAGATTAATTACATAGATGATAAAGTAATACTACTATATAATTAGTGAAAAATCAATATTTATTGAGTACTTACATGCCAGGCACTATGCTAAACACTTGCATGGAATATTTTATTTAATGCCATGTCAACACTATGAGGTAGGGACAATTGTTATCTCTATTTACAGAAGAAAGATAGAAGGTTCGGGAGTTTAAGTAGCTGGTAGAAGTGACAGAAAAGAGTTCTGATCCATCAAATGGGTGTCATTTAGAGTGGTGGTTCCCAAAAACCAGTCCAAAGACTGTTTTCTCGTTGGATGTATAAGAATCACCTGGGACCATATTACAAGACTGCAGATCTAGTGATGCTGAATCAGTACATCTGGGATGGGGCCTGGAAATCTGAATTTCTTAAAGGTTCACAGCTAACTCCCATGTGTGGCCAAGTAATTAGATCCAAGGATTTACAGACTTGACCTTAATTTGAGTTCATGACCTTGGGGGATCCATGTAAAAGCTTCAAAACTTCCATAATTACCTGAAACTGTATGCAACTTTTTGTGTATAAACATGTATTTTTCTGTAGAGGAGATCCATAGCTTCCCCACCCCCCAAAGGAATCTGTGAGGCAAGATGGAATAAAAACCCCTGATTAACAGGAAGGCTGATGTAGAGTGGTGGTTCCCAGCCCAGGCAGCCCATTAGAATCACCTGGGGAGCTCAAAACACTGGCGCTCATGTGCCACCGTCCAGGCCAAGGAGCTCAGCATCTGTGGCAGGAGAGAAAGGAGCTCTGGTGAGGAGTTCAGTGGTTCAAATCTGTCACTTAGCGAGTGTGTGACCTTGAACAGCTACTAAGCACTTTTAAACCTAAATCTCCCATCTGTGAGAAGGTCAGCTCT